CACCTGCTCTACTGTCACAGCTCAAGTGACAAGCAGTAACCCAGACAGAGGAACACCAGGTTGTTGCAAAATCTTCTTTAACTACCTGACCACCACACATCCAAAATGTTAATGTTTGCTGAAATGTAGCAGATAGCAACTGTTCTTTAGAATTAACAATTTAATATGATCCAAACACATCGCTGTTATCAAGAGCCTCCTGTTTTCACGGCACCTCACTCATTATTTAACAAATCTAATAAAGACTGCACCAAAATGCAGAGACATTGCTTATTTCAGTCATTGCCTCCATTGGGAAAAATGAAACTGCAGTCCCTGATTTGTTTGGAACATGTGACATTGGAGAGGCAGGCAGCTCGAACAGCCACATGTGATGAAGCASGGAGAAAGGCTGAAGAAAATAACCACACTCAGAAATTAAAAGGCGGAAAGATGCAAAAGAATTTAAGCAATCAACTGGATTGTTGTTTCTTTTCGACTTGCAAATTTGAAAAACTGCTGAAGCAGTAAGAGCATACAGGAAAAAAGTTAAGTAATAATTTCATAATTTATGCTCCAATTTACCAGTGAATAATATAAATATGAGCATTATTTGTAATTGTTACGGTGAATCCTAGCAAGTTTCTTTCTCCTCCACTATTCCACCTTCCACATTGCTTAGAACGTAACATACTTACTGCCACAGCTTGAGATAAAGTGTAATCAGAGTATAGGCACAAGTTTTATCTTCTTTTCTCTGAAGTATAACAATAGTTAGGCCAAGAAAATGTTACTTTAGAAGGGTTTTTTARTGCCTCTGTATTCATGTACACATATATGTGTATACACAGACACATACACATTTATGTGTGYATATTTTGTATATATATAATGTTCAGTAGAAAGCTCCCAAACACCTATCAATGCAGTTTCCCCACATCTAGAATTCGATCCGACTAGTAACAACCTGTCAGCTTTAAATATTGGACTATTTGTCTCCCTGTGTCCAGTGCCTAAGATCCTGTTAATTACCTAAACTCCCTTTCTGTAGGTCTTGTTAATTACCCGTCTCCTGTCTCAGAGGACCTTGTTAATAACTTGTACAATCTCTCTAAAAAGGTCCTAATAACACATTAAAATTAAAGATGCTTTTCTTTTAGCACTTGTCAAGTGGTGTAAATTGAGAAATTTTCACATCGGTTTATTAGCCTGTAGTGTAGTGTCATGTATTTTCCTAAACAAAAACAATTTCAGAAAAACCATCGCAAGCTTTGGTTGMGGCACAAAACAATCTTTGTTTTCCAGGAGAACCCTCAGTTTCTTTAACTGTGTTCAACACAAAAGCCATGTGGCTTCTGACTGCAAATTAACCTCCTGAGAGCCATGACAATAGCAGTAATTGTAAGAATGATTGCAATTTAAGGCAATATTCGGTAAAAGTTTCAAAACAGTGCACTAGTAARTACAAAGACAAAATTATTATTGGTAAATGCTGGCTAAGAGCACTAGACATTGTTTGCTTGAAAAGTCTTCATTGGCTGTGTGTTAKAAAAGCTCTGAAACTAACAGATTTTGTATTTGCAAAACCGGCATTTTTTATTTCACTATGAGACTTTTGCACTTTTAAATTGTAAAGGAATCAGCTACTTTGCTGACAACAGACAAAATAACCCCCCAATCTTAACACTTAGGTAACACTGCCTATCATATCTATAAAAACATTTAAAAATTACTCATTCATCCACTCAGCATTTGCAGGAGGTAACAAAGTATCATCCCCATTTTACAGATTTAGCCAAAGCCAAGAAASAAGCCTTTGCCAGATCAGAGATTAACAGAAATTAGAGGTCCATATTTTGTGATTTCCTGTCAATAAGTATTATATACAAACCAAGCAGGTTTKGTTTGGCTTTTCCAAAGTACTTCTAAAACCTTTTTGAAACAACAATAATAATACCAATAAAAAAGAAATAATAATTTCCAAATTATCCTGGGATACTTGCTTTTAGAAAAAAAATCCGACAACTGTTGCTGAACTACTTCTATATTTTTTGGATCRGCAGCTGAGCAACACATGGAAGATGTGCTTATCTTCATTCTTTTAGTTAGTAAGTAAGATTAATTAGTGACAGAGAAAGAAGATAGCCCGTTAAGCAATGAAGGATGGGCTGGGTGAAGGGCTATTCAGCAGCTCATCCAGACAGCAGTTGATATTATGAGCTGCTGTTCTCCACATTGTTACAGCTCAGCCAACATTACCAACCACAATTAATTAGGATGGACTTAAGCCTGACCCAAAGTTTACCAAAGTCACTGAACAGGCTCCCACTACGCTTACAGATGTGGCTTCATCAGTGCTGAGAACTCGACATTCCCACTATAAATACAAAAGAGTTGGGATTGGTGTATCTTTTTTGAGGGTTGGTAAAAGGGTTGCTATGGGTTGAGTTTTTTCCTTCCACCTTGCTCTATCTTTGCCTGGCCCCACAGAATGAATGTTGTTTTGTGGGTACAGTGTGTCCCTGGAACACATCCTCCAGTTGAATTTCATCAGACAGGAATCCAGCTCAGGATGCTCCATCACCCAAACTAAGGCTTCTCTAAGTGGGATTAACTGGGAGATCCGCCTGCAAAGCAAACACCTGATCCACAGCACAACRCTGATTTTGGATAATCTTAATAAAAAATACACTATCTGGTTTACTTACAAAAATGGTATTGATCCAAAAGAGCTTCATAGCACGTTGAGTAAATAAGAAGCAACTCAAAGTCCAAATTCCCTCTCTGTGCTTTCTGCATACTGAATTTCTTACCCAGCCTCATTTATTTTGTGCCTACATATTCATACAATTCTTTCTTCAGTATTACTAGTTCAAAAAACTAAAAATGGATTCCATTCGAGAAATCCTCTGCAGATAAAAGGTAAACTTAAAGTGTAAACTAATTAAATATGCACATTTTGCATGYGTTTCTACTTCAAAAGAAAATAATTGTACAACATACATTTGAAAGAAAGTAAACTAAGTCTAAAAGGTTCACACAGAACATCCTAAATGAACATATAAAAATCAAGAGCTTCTGACTTTACYTATTGCATGCTAGATATTATGCCATAATAGCTATCTCACAAAAAAAGTCAGAATGTTTACTATTTTGGGCTTTTTTAAAACAAAATAATATCTATTTGTCTTATCAAAAGTTTATGTTTACATAAAAGTCAAGAATTAGCAAAAGAGACTCTCACACAAAGAGGGAAACAAATGACTAGAGTCCTTCTGAATGGGCACTGTGATGAGCTTTTTAATTACAAAACAAAGAAAAAAAAGTCCATCATGATTACCATTAAAGATTTATATTTATCAAGATMTGCTGCATTCAAGAACTTCAAAAGATTTCACTATTTATATCTAGCATCTGCCCAAATACAGTGTTTAATTTAAAAAAAATTAAACGCTATGTAATTTTAATTGTTATTTAAATTATTTCACTTTAAAGCTTATTTAGACGGAAGCTTCACTTCTGACAAACCAAGCTACAACCTAACCTTTTGCTAATTTAGAGAAATCCCTCATTACATAAAAAATATTCTAAAGTTGTCTGTAAACACCAGGAACTGACTTGACTCATAGCAGGCACTAAAAAGATAATTTGTTGAGGTCTGGATGAGCTTCTAGCAACAAATCTTTTCTACAGCAGTTTCATTTCAGTTCATTTATCTAATTCACATCCATGATTAGYTTTGTTAAGAAAATTATTCTAAGTTTAAATCAGGAGCGCATGCACTCTAACCCATGGAAAAAAAACTGAGCTGGGAACAATAAGAACTCTCTGTTCTAAAAGAACAAGATAACAAGAAACTTTTTTTTTTTTAAAAATAACTACTTCTATGTCATTAATTAAGGAATTCATATACAGGAAAAGGTGAATTTGTTAGAACCATGTTTTCCATTTAAATTGGTGATTAATTTTACAACCTTTAGATTCTAGTTTAAAGCCTTTTAATTTTAAATACATTTTCTACCAAATTGAAGTCATTAAACAGAAATGAATCACTACCTTGAAAAAACAAGGACTGTAAATTTCTGGCATTTATATACAAAAAAAAAAAGAGAATGCAAACTAATGAAAGTTAATTAACTTTTTAAACATGTATCTATTATGAACAGTATATGTGGGTGGGAATGTACATAAATACATATATATATATATATATATATATATTTATACATCTATAAAGAGAGACAGACAGCATTTCTTTCTTGCTAGCAAACAAAACCCAGAAAGGAAACTAACCGCAGGTTACACTTTTTTTTTTTCCTTAGGGAAAACAAGTAAAGCATTGATAGACAAAGAAAGATTAAAATGGATTATTTAAATCAAAGTTTCTTATCAGTCCTTGTAACTTAATTCACTCTGCTCAGCACATAAACTGCTGCCTCATGCAATGATTTCAATASTTAGAACTCAGCAAAGCTGCAGTGAGCCAAATGAATTCAAGGGAGATAAGTGCTCATGTTGGTCCTCCCTTTTAGAAACAGAACACTCTTTAATTCTTGTACTCTAACATATACAACATAAATACTCTTTTTTCCCAAACAGTGACATCCACAGGATTTCTTTCTACTACTTGCACTTTAACTACTCTTTTATTCATTCAATTTTCTCTTTCCCTTAAACTTGAAACGTTTCCCTCTCAAAACCTGACTTAGGACAAAGTAACAATTAGCAACCAATGTTCAGYGACAGCAGAAGACTTCCAAGGAGAACCCATTCTGAAGCACAAACAAGGTTTTCCACAAACACTAGTACCAAAGATCACTGACAGCATGTATTAGTARTAAAAAAGTAACCTCAAAACAGGAAACGATCAAATTATTTAAAGAGTTTGTAACTTTTACCTAGAAACAGACAAGCACTGACGTAAACGTATATAAAGCACAAAGATCAAGTTCCTCAACACTTCACATTTTCATTTATATAACAWGTTCAAGATATCAGATTGAAATACAGCAAAAACCTACCTTGAAGATGGCAACAGGCTCGTAGGCTTGAAGTTTGCCATAAACGGATTAGTTGAATCATAATCAAAACTCTCCTGATGAGCTTCCCCAAACGCACTCGGTGATTTCAAGTCAGTAGAACTCTCTGATCCCCCATTGCTAAGTTTATCTGACCTCTTGCTATCTTTTTTTCCAGTCACTCTTTCAAAAAGACTAACTTTYTCTTTTTTCTCTTTTTTAATTTCTTTCCTGATCTCRACAGGTTTGGAAAACAGACTTATGTTTTGATCCCATGCTGCTGGGCTTTCTTCAAATGGATTCTTCTGTCTTGGCAGTGTAGCAAATTTTTGGGGTAACGAAGCACTCACATTAAATGGGTCATTTTGTGCTTCAAGTGCAGTTTCATCAACTGTGCTGTCAAGTTGGCTCATTTTAGAAGTATCAACACTTAATGTCCTTCTGTGTGGAGATTTTAGACTCCCTGCAAACAATCTGTCATTAGTATATTATCAATGAGACACTATATCACAATTTATGACATGCAGAAAACCCATTTTAGCTTAGATCTAGATGCTTTGCAACTGCGTCTTCACTGAGGAGTAACTAAGCTATTTAAAAAGTAAAATTAACAGCTGAGGCCTTGATTTCATGTTTCACAAATGTTTATCAATAGGCAGCACAGGAAATTTTTGTTTCCTGCATGAAAACCAAGTTATACAGGCAAGACAGTTATGACTGGTATGCCATTTCAGAAAGAGACAATAGTATATTGCTGCATAATAACTTTGARCAATGCAAAGTATTTTCAGTTCTTTGTATAAATCAGGTTTAAAATTTGGTGACAGATTTTTACTTTTCAATTAGACATTACTCACAAGATGTTATTTTGCCTAGAGTCCCCTCTGGAATGAAATATACTCTGGGTTGAGGACATAGTAAGAGAAAATGCTGAATTATCATACGTTATGAGCAATATAAGGTATTTCTTGTGCTCAGAAACAGCAATCATGATTACCAGCAACAAAAGAAGTGTAAAAAATAGGCCAGCAGTATCTCTTAACATTTTGGCCTTGTAAGTGCTTTATAAACTGCAGTGACAGATTCTGAATGCTCTAACAGCAGTGAGCTGTAATTGTAATGGTTATGAGTTTTACTTACCACCTTCATCAACTGAACCAAAGGATTCCAGCTGACGCCTGAAAAGATGGGGGTAGCCAACAGTGCTGGATTTCATTTTCTCTGAGGAGATRTGTGGTCCTGTCAGATCTGACATGGAGTGAGCCGAGGACAGYCGCTGAGGTCCCAAGAGGAAAGGTTTTTTTGGTTTTGATTTCATTTGTACCTCACCACTAGACACCTCTAGATTTGCATCAGGTATGTGAGTACTTGGGATGATTGCAGAGGATGTATCCGAAAACGTCCCATCGTTTTTCCGACCCTTCATTTTGTCTTTTAGTTTAGCAAAYGGAGATTTGGTTTTGTCCTTCATTGACAAGTCAAACATACTTGCTGTCATGTTGTTCCTCATAAACTGAATATTSACATTTATTTCTCCTCTGTCTTTCGTTCTCTTCCCTTGTCTGGATTCTAGGGGAAACCACCTTAAAAGAGAAAGCAAGCAAATTAAGTTGTGTTTTCTGGAGACTACTCATTGCACTCTGGTTAGTTGGTTCATGTATCAGGTTAGTGCAGTTTAAAATAGGAAAACCCAAATCCTATACCAAAGATTCAACCATTCCTGTACCGAAAAACTCCTTTGTTTATATTWGTTTTTGAAGACAAAATTTATTAACTAAGCAGTACAAAGCTCTTTACAGTGTCCACCCATTTCAAAAACCAAAAGCAACTCTGGAAGCTGACTAAACCTCATCAAAGCTAATGAGCTTGCATGAATGAGAATTTTCATAAATACAGATAAATTTTATTTTAGTATTTAAAAGAACACTTGACAGTTTTCAAGTGTCCTTCATTTAGCAGGGATGACAGTATTCAAGTGTCCTTTATTTAGCAGTGATGCATATTAATGTGTTCCATGTGGCAATTGCTTCATCTAGTAACCTTTTCTCCTTTGATTTTGCTCAGGTTCAYGCACTAGCAAACATTTTCCCCTCTTTTCTACCTTCCAAGCACTGGTAGCAGCACTAGCTAAGAATCTGAGAACCCAGAACATCCAACTACCATTTCAATTTTGCAATTGCCTCCTCTCTGGCTGACAGTAACTCTGCGAGCACAACTGTGAGCACGTAGGTGTATCCCCAGCATYCTCTCTTTTGCAGGTCACCAGCAGGATTAACTTCAGAAATATTTCCTTTGGAACCATGACATAAATCCTCACTCCTTGAAAAGAGATCAAAGGTGTGATCATCTGTTTAAAAAAGCCAAGTGTGCTTCTTTGCCAGGTCCAGCAAAAGCTTTATCATTATCCAAGTGTCTTATTCATTCCCTATTGTGCTCCATTGTCCCATGGAAGCATCTGCAGAATTATGGCCCAATCTCCCCTCCACAGCTTCACCTAAATGAATAACCAACACACAATCCCTTCTCCACAACCATCAACAGGAGCCTTTTCCTATTTCAAAAGGGCAAAGGCATATTTCAGATCCACCAACTCCAAAGAAGTGCTCTAAACCTACTGCCAGGARAAATCCATGCACACAGACTAACACAACAGCACTTTACCATGAGTAACTTTTACCTTCGAGATAAAGAAATTAAATTGCCTATTGGCACAGATGTGAAATTGATTATACAATTATGTATACATTATTCAATCCTGACAAATATAGAAAAAGGGTCAGGAAAGGAAAAAAAAAATAACCCTTTTATTTTCATGARTATATTTTAAAGGTGACAACTGAAATCAAATTTTCAGGCAGAGATTATGTTTTTTTGAGTTGAGAAAATACTTCCAAAAGTGACATACCAAAAAAATCAAAAGAATATGATGCCTTTTTTTGTTGCTGCTTTGTGATGTCCACATGATTTTACGTTTCATACTAAAGCAGAATAACTAAGAAGTACCAGGGCTTCTCTTTTCTGCCACTGAACAACATGAATCTGGACCAATAGACTCAGAATTTCAAACTAGAAGGATAATTAAATCTGCTGGAAAAAAGCTTTTCTTCTGTTGTGAGGTAACTTCATTTATGTATTTTAAATGAAATGCAAAACCTGAAATATGTGTCTGAAGAAGATGGATCGTTTTTCCTTTTAGTTAATAATGTTTCACTTCTCTGGTAACTGATTCCAGAAACAGTTTAAGTCATCTATAGASTTGTTACAGAAAACACACAACAGAACCAAAAGTCAATTTCCTTTGTGCTGCATAGTATTGAAAWACTGGAAGACAAGATAGCCTGCTTTCTTTAAAACTCTTCTTTAAAAGAAAATAAGTTCACATATTCCCTTACAAAAATACAAATACATAGCATTATGAGCAAGCCCTGCTCAGGCAGACCCTGCCTGTGCAGACAAAAAACCCCCAACAAAAACCATCCTGAAGCTGAGAAAGTCCTCCCATGATTCCTCACACACACACTAAACATATACATAAATACAAATGAGACTCATGAGCATTTTATGAGAAGTAATATCCAGAAAGGACCTCACTTTTTAACATTCAAATTTAATGGCTCAGCCACACTGTAACAAAACATTCTCTTTTTCCCTCTCTTCGCAGGTTTCAAACATTAATACTCTATTTCTGATAAAACTGGTAAATTTTTCCATGTTTCTGCTTAGGAATTACCAAAACTTTAAACTGATGCATGACTTGTTTTAGAACAATATCAAGACATAAACTCTTAAGCTTTTGCTATGTRGAAGAATGTCTTTTATTTTAAAAATTCATTTAACTGAATTATTGGCATTCTTACCACCAATCAACAACGCTGTGTCATTACCAGCACCCACCTGCTTAATGGCAAACCCCCACAAACTACTTGGACACTTAGATCTTTTTAAAGAGAAGCCCACAACTAACAGGTTGCCTTCACAGCTTCTACACTTCTTTTCAAAGTAGACCTTGAAGAACTTGACATTACAAATAAGTTCAGGTGGGAAAACAAAGAAGACAACAGAAGGTCCTGCTGGAACCAGGTTCAACATTACTACTGATTCCAACAGAATTTAATCATAAACTCTTTTACTCCAGTAAAATTCCTCTGTTCTTCAGYGGAATTTCTATTTGAATAATGATTGCTGGATCAAATCTTTGTATGAAAGACAGATATTTAATTTTCATAGGCATTTCAAGGAGGTTTCTTTGTTACCTTGGAGAGTTTATCTTGTTTTAGTTATAATGAAGGTTCCATATGCTTCAGCTCATTACAAGACAATATGAGAAGCAGACTCAAATCATGATTTTCTTCAAATTCAAAGGCAACTAATTACTTTTTTAAACAGATGAGAACAAATGCAGGCAATGCATTTATGTGGAGCTGCACGTGAACGAGCAACTAAGTCTKTAAATGTTTCTTATTAGAATGTGTTTCAACAACACATGGGCGTGAGCAGCAAATAGAAAAAACAGCACTATACAGGAGAGAAAAAAGAATCGGAAAATGAAGTCCACTGTTTTCAGATAACAACATTTGGGTCCTAAAACTCTAAATTCCACTATACCACTGCCAATTTAAAAAATTGAAATGTATTATAAAAGCCAATAAAACCTGCTATTTTGGTTTTGTTTACAGTACTTTTAGCCACAATAAATGCTCCATTTGTCAGGCTGCCATAAGCTTATTCTATAGAAAGCCTGTACAAAGTAGRAAAATAGCCAATAATATACATGAACAAAACAGGGTGGCTTTTATGAGTGCAGATGCCCTTTTACTTAATAACCAAATATTACATCCAGTCTTGCAGACAKTTTTTATTTAAACAGACCTTGTACAAAGTCTGGCAAATTTTCCCAACTTCAAAGGAAGCCCTATTGCCTTCGGAATCACATTCATACTTCTTGCTCTCACCTTCAATGTTCTGTAGGGCAATGTCCTCCATACACCCTCTAATTTCAACTTTTTTTCCCTATGGCTTCTATAAGTACAACCCTTGCTTCTTTTTCTCATCTGTTTTTCAGTGTGCTAATGGGCTTTGCCTGTCTTGCACAGGTTTCTGATAMTTTTTACTTTTAAGTATTCTCTACATTGCCACCCTGCATGCTGACAATTTTTTTGAACGCACAAGGAGATCAACGTGCAAGCCCAAATAGGAAAAATCCAGYTGACCAGGCAGCCCTGAAAAAGTCAACTCCTAACCCAACCAGTGTGGCTACTTTCTAACCATGACAACATTAATTTGGCCACACCTACAATCAGGGATGCAAAAAGCAAGCTCTTATGCAGTATTACTAGTAAGGAACCTTCACCTTMRGAAARAMAGAAAAGAAAGGTGAAGGCCAAAAYTGAAATAAGCTACTAYACATGAGCAAGTTACAAAACCCAGGCCTGACCATTCCATTTCCATTCCAGTCTACACAACAGACTTTCAACTGGTTTGCTCCTCCCCTTTTCTGATTTGTCCTCCAAATCTGCCACAGAATTTGACACTTCCAACTCTTACCCCTTTTTCTCCTTTGAAGAAGCATCACTCAGCCTATGCTACTCACTATGTAACAGTGAGCAGGACGGGCTGACAGTATGGGTAWGAAAAAGCACTACCTCATTTCAATCACATTTTCTTTAYATACTTTAACAGCCTCCAAAACCAYCGGGTAACTTGTCTACCMATTTCRACAGGAATCAAGTGAAYRTGCCAGCACATTCAACCTGAGCATGTCAGATGATATCTTGACTCCATCTTCTCACCAGTGCCAAACATGGAAAGTATTGAAGGAATTTTCCCATCGTCCTGTTTCTCAAACACACCACTGCCTTCATTCTACCAATAATTATCTGTTGAGCTGATTTAGTTTTGCTTTGCTGAAAGCGTAAGATTACACCAAAAGAATTTTGCRAAATCTTTACTTTAATTCACAAATTACTGAAGAAATTCTGCAAAAAGCCATGTAATCATCACAGCATCTGCCAACATTTCTAACCTTGATTTTAAAGGCAAAAAAACAGCATCCTGATCTGCTACACAGCAATGAGAACTTCCTATACAGGCAGATACTTTTAAACTTACCCCTATAAGACCATCAGAATCTCAATGATAGAACATGTCCATCAGCTGTCACAGGAGCAAAGTAGATGACTGGCAAGCAAGATACACTGAAGAAACTTGCTCCACAAAACCCCACTAACRTAAGTGTCCACACCTAATTGATAAAAAACAAGATCCAAAGCACAGAACTGTCTGACATTTTCATTTAGCAGCATGTGCACTTTGAAAAATGCAGAAGTATGTTTTGTGATAAATCATTCTGATACCATACGGAGAGATTGCCCCAAAAGTCAGCCAAGTAGGAAAATGAAGGCAAGGGGCTGAGCACAGACTACATTGTGCATGAGGAGAAATTAAGAAGAAAACAGATTCTTTATTAAAATAAGTGATGACACTCACAAAGATAAATACTCTTACTTTCTGGAAGCCAACTGAAATGAGATATTCAAAGCAGTTTCAAATAAATAYTACAGAGTGACATTTTAACACCACAAAA